AAAAAAAAAAAAAAACACAATCCAAAAGAAAGCAAGGATGGAAGAAAGGGAACAAAGAACAGATGGAACAAATGGAAAATAGCAATAAGACAGATTTAATTTCAATTATATCAATAATGCATTATGTGTAAATGCTCTAAATACTCCAACATAAAGGCAGAGATTGTCAGATTGAATAAAGAGAAAAGCTATACTCAACTATGTGCTGTATGCAACTAATATCTCATATAAAGACACAGGTTAAACATTAAAACAATGGGAAAATATATAGTATGCAACTACTTATCAGAAGAAAGCTAGAGTGGCTATATTAATATCTGACCATAAACTTAAGACCAAGAAATACTACAAAAATTAAAGAAGGACATTTTCTAATGATAAAGGGGTCAAGTCATCAAGAAGTCACAGCTATTTTAATTGCTGATGCAGCTGATAACAGAGCTTTAAATATGTGAAATGAAAGCTAAAGACCTGAAAGTGCACATAGAAAATCCTACAGTTATAGTTGGAGATTGTATTTGTAAATATGAAGTTAACCAAAATTAGGCGAAATTAATTTAATTTCATTTCTTTCAAATGAGTATTTCATTCATAGTTTAAAATCAGAAGGATATATAGTAAAAGTGTTAACTACATTGTCACATGTTTCTTAGCCAGTTCTCATTGAAAACAACCATGTTACCATTTTTAAAATATTGCTTAAAAATATTTTATGTATACGTAAAAAATTTTATTCTTTTCTTTCTATTTTTTGACAGACTCTTTCTCTGTCGCCCAGGCTGGAGTGCAGTGGTGTGATCTCGACTCACTGCAACTTTGCCTCACAGGTTCAAGAGATTCTTGTGCCTCAGCCTCCTGAGTAGCTGGGATTACAGGCATGTGCAACCATGCCTGGCTAATTTTTGTATTTTTAGTAGAGATGGAGTTTCACCATATTGGCCAGGGTGGTCTCGAACTCCTGACTTCAAGTGATTTGTCCGCCTCAGCCTCCCAAAGTGCTGGGATTACAGGTGTGAGTCACTGCACTTGGCCCTCTTTTTTTCTTTTTAAAAATTCAAATGGTAACACACTATTCACATTTCAGAAGTCCATTTTATTTTACCACTTAATGTTTTGATTCCATTACTGGCACATAAAACTCTAGATTAAATAAGGTTTAGGGCTTGCCACTATGGAATCCACAGAATCCATAGCTCTGTGGATTCTTCTTTTGTATGCAATTGTGCATGCTGTGCTTTGAAATTTTTCAGTAGGTTTCGGTCCCCCAGGGACAGTGTATTTTTTTTTAACTGAGATGTAATTCGCACACGGTATTTCACCTTTTTAAAGTATACACTCATGGTTTTTTGCTATACTCAGAAAATGGTGCAATCACCACCACTTTCTATTCCAAAACATTTTCATTACTGTTATCCATTAGCGATCATTCTCCATTTCCCTTTCCCCTATACCCTGAAACCAGTACTCTACTTTAGTCTCTACAGATTTGTTTTCTCTGGGACATTTCATACCAATGGAGTCATACAATAACAGCCCTTTGTGTCTAGGTTCTTCACTTAGTATAATGTTTTCAAGTTTTATCTGTGTTGAATAGCTTCATTCCTTTTTGTGGCTAAATATTTCGTTTTGTGACTATATTCCATTTTGTTTGTATTAGAATTTTAAACATCCTTCTTAACAATATACATCCTTGTATAATTCAGTCAATACAGGACCAGGTGGCACTACCTAGTATATATTACAACAGAAGCCTCTTTAGGTTGTGAATGTGAAAAGGTCTGTTTTCAATATACTACAATTTGATACTTTTTATAAGGATATTTAGACATGAGTTAAGCACATTTAGGAGAATCAAGAAACCTTACCACAGGCCTCTGAGTTTACGTATAAGTTTCTGAAGCTTTTCTCAGAACTGGACTTAGCCAAGAGACATTCAAAAAACAAAATACTCCCAATTAATTTGTTTTGAAACCAGGGAATATTGCCAACCACATTCCACAAAATTCAAAGAATTTCTATTAGTTATGGTGCAATGAGCCCAGACTGAAGACACAGAGAAAGGAAATCCTGAAAGAGCACAGCTTATAGCAACAAAAAATAAATTGATTTTTTTTTATTCATCTTTGATTCATCTTCTTAGTAACTTGGGGCTTCACATCAAGGAAAATAAGGACTTTCCCAAGCATAAGTACCAGTGCTCACTTTCTCACCAAGAGAATGGGAAACTGTATCAAATGGGTGGATGGCCAGGCATGGTGGCTCACGCCTGTAATCCCAGCACTTTGGGAGGCTGAGGTAAGCAGATCAGGAGGTCAGGAGATTGAGACCATCCTGGGTAACATGGTAAAACCCCATCTCTACTAAAAATGCAAAAATTAGCTGGATGTGCTGGTGTGTGCCTGTAATCCCAGCTACTCAGGAGGCTGAGGCAGTAGAATCGCTTGAACCTGGGAGGTGGAGGTTTAAATGAGCTGAGATCATGCCACTGCACTCCAGCCTGGGCAACAGAGTGAGACTCTGCCTCAAAAAAAAAAAAAAAAAAAAAAAAAAAAAAAAAAAAAAAAAGGTGGATGTGCCAAGAGTGACTATCAAACCAAACAGCAACAGATACGAGAATCTGCCTTCCTATGAGAGAGGGTGAAATACGGAAGTCAAATAATAAAGATGATTTCCTAATCCTCACTTGATCCCAGGCAGGCCTGGCCTTGCCTCTCTCCAGCCTTCTTTAGATTTCTTTTGGAATAGCTTTGAGAAGACTATACATCATCAGCCCTCCAGTTGGATTTAAGAGTTGATTTTAAGTGATGCCTAGGATTAATAAAGAAGCTCAGGAGAATCCATGCACACTATTTAGGGTAAATATTCCAGTGCTGTGTTTACCTCCATATTTCTAAATAATATGTCAATGCTCTTATTTTTTAATTTTAGAGATTATATTGGCTTGCCATTTTGGTAGATGCAGTTCAGCACACATATCACCCAACCACCAACTCTTATTGCCTTTTAATCCTCTGGAATAGTTATATCATAGTTTCTACTTAAATCATTATTAAGCCTTTGTATTGCTGGACTAAATTAACATTGATCTCAGCTTGGCCAAGCAGTGTACTGATTATTTCTTTTTCTTATTCAACTTCCTGTTTTTCCTGTACTTAGTGATTGCCTGATTTATTTTCATTTGTTCATTTCCTTGTACCTTGTAGCCTTTGCTAATTTTTCTTCCTTAATATGTTGTTCGACATGGTCAAATCTGACAGAAATCTATCCATTCCATTTATTTTTCTGAAGACTGTCCTTTGATCTTCGCTGATTACCCTCTAGGCCTGCTATCCAGCTGTCATCCTAGGACTTTGCTTTTCTCCTATGTTAGGTTCCCTATTTCTTGCTTACTGTATTTTCTTTCTTAGTTTAATCCCTGTTTTTCATGATGCTTATAATTCTGGGGCTTCCTGAGAAAAGGTGCAGAGGAAGTAAATTTTGGGGATGACATGCCTGAGAATATGATGTTTGCTTTTTTTTCCCCCCGCTCATTCCTGTAATCCCAGCACTTTGGGATGCTGAGGTGGGCGGATCATCTGAGGTTAGGAGTTCAAGACCTGTCTGGCCAACATGGAAAACTCCATCTCTTCTAAAAACACAAAAATTAGCCAGGTGCAGTGGTGAGCACCTGTTATCCAAGCTACTTAGAAGGCTGAGGCATAAGAATTGCTTGACCCCATAAGGTGGAGTTTGCAGTGAGGAGCCAAGTGCACTCCAGCCTAGGTAACAGAATGAGACTCTGTCTTAAAAAAAAGATGTTTTTTCTATTTTCATACCTATTTAAGAGTTTTAGTTATGTACTGACATGCTAGTGGCAGCTCATTTACTCATTTACCCTCAGAATTTAAACACTTGTTCAATTTATCTTCTTTAAGCACATTTAGAAAATACTTAAATTACAAATATTAGATACCAGACACTGTTCTGAGCACTGTATAAATATGAACCCACCTAATCCTCATAACAAAACATGGGGTAGATACTATCATTAATGTCATTTTTCCCATGAGGAATTGACTGTGTAAGGTAACATTGCTCATAGAGTATAGAGTCAGGTTTCAAACCTGGCAGCCAGGCTTCCAACATTTCCCCTATGCTGCCATTTCAGCTATAGCTGTTGTAAAGCCAGACAGCATTTGGGTTTCTGTTATTTCCACGGGACTTGTCTTTCTGTCTGGAAGCTTTTAGGATCTTCTTTTTAATTTTGGTGTTCTAAAATTTTATGGTCATATGTCCTAGGGTATCTTTTAATATTCATTTTGTATAATTGTGGATCCTTTTAATTTATAATTTTATGTCATTTAATTCTGGGAATTAAGTGTGTGTACATAAAATAATTTCCCTCCCATTATTTTCTCTGTTCTTCTTTTCTGGAGCTTATCTTCTGGCTTGACCCTGTTTTCTCATCAGAGTCGCTGACATTCATTACCACTCAGATATTCCTACTAACTAGGCTTCATCAGAGACTGGACTGATCATTTAATTGCAAAAAACTTCTCTTCTTGTTTTAGTTTCTGGGAGAAAGTTTTTAATATTATTATTAACAAATCCTTAATTCCAAAGAAAAGTGAGGGATTTTCTTGATTTTTATCTTCCAATTGCTCTATCAATTTTTAAAAAATCATGTTAATTATATTTTTATTTCCAAGATCTCTTTCTTGGTTTCTGAATTTTTCTTTTATGCAGCTTCCTGTTGCTGATTTATAGACACAATATATTCTTATCATTCTGAACAAAGTAATTATAGTGTTTTAAGTTTCAAGATTTCTTCTGCTTTTGCACTTTTTTTCCTCTTCAAGTTCTCTATTTTTATATTACTCTAAGTGTCTGGAAATACTTGGTTGTCCATTCACATTGTGGAGCAAGAGATCCAACATCCCAAGCTTCATTTTCTATTTTTCTTCCTTTTTTACCCCAGACAACCCCACTTTCGGTGTCTTTTCAGGGTTTGGCAGAGTCAGTGAACATTGTCATCAGCATCTCTCTGCAAGCACTCATTTCACTTTCTACTATTCTTATAGGCAGTTACTATCCTTCCACCTCTTTCCATCTTCATATTTTTGTGGGCTACAAATGTCTCCAGCATTCATTAAAGTTGGAATTTGTGTTTCTGTCATCATTCTCTTTTTGTTTGAAGGAGACTTCTGAGAGAAATGTGTAGAAATAGCTTCATTTTGTCATTTTAAATGAAAGTCAACCACTCCTTGAAACACATTTCTTTCTTGGCTTCTGTGACTCCATAGTCTTTGGGGTCTCCTCTCACCTCTTTTTTCTCTACTGCATGCCTAAACTTTGGAGTCCCTTAGGTTGTGGTGTTTGGCTACCTCCTCATCTCCCTCTATACTTTTACCCAAGGTGCTCCAATCCATTCATGTTAAATATTTCTGCATCCTGATGACCCACCAAGTTTCTGTTTCCATCCACTATTTCTCCACAGAGTCTCCATGTTGCCTATTTTTTACATGCATCTCAAGCCTAACATGTCCAAAGCTAAATTCTTTATTTCCAGCCCTAACCCTGTTCTTCCACTAGCCTTTCACATCTCAGAAAACAGCAGCACTATCCACCCAGTTGTTCAAGCCAGAGGCCTAATAATTTTTTTCTCCTTATTTAGCAAACTTCTCTCCATCACATTTAATCCAATCCATTTAATCTGAGATTCTCATTCCAAAATATAGCTTCAATCTTTCTGTCTTAATCCAAACTACTATAGTTTCTTACTGGGATTACTGACAAATCTTCCTAATTGGCCCCTCCTTCTCCTTTTTTCTTTCCACCCCATTCTTCAGATAGCAGTCCAAACGAACTTGAAGCATCAATCAGACCATGTCATTCCTTTCCCCTAAAGAACCTAGTAACTTCTCATGGCATTTCCAAGAACATTCAAGCTTGTCCAACACTGGGAATGACCTGGTTTTTTCCAACCTCTTTATCTCCTGCTGAGTGATTGAGGTGGAGAGGAACTAGAGTGTTTCTGACCTGAGGGCTTTGCATGTGCTGGTATTTTTTTACCTTGTCTTTTTTTTTTTTTTTTTTTTTTTAAGACAGAGTCTAGCTCTGTCTCTTAGGCTAGAGTGCACTGGTATGGTCTTGGCTCCCTGCAACTTCTGCCTCTGGGTTCTAGCAGTTCCTGTGCCACAGCCTCTCAAGTAGCTGGAATTACAGGCGTGCACTACCACGCATGGCTAATTTTTTGTATTTTTGGTAGAGATGAGGTTTCACCATGTTGGCCAGGCTGGTCTCAAACTCCTGATCTTGGGTGATCCGCCCACCTCGGCCTCCCAAAGTGTTGGAATTACAGGCATAAGCTACTGCACCTGGCCTGTATTTTATCTTAAATGTCATTTCTCAAGAGGTCTAGGTAATCACCCCAACAAAAGTGGTCCCCAAAGTATTCTTTCTCATAGGACTCCCTTTTCTTAAATGACTTTCCCCAATTCACATTGGATATTTCTTTGCTTACTTGTTAAAAGTTTTTTCACACTAGAAGGTACAACTGCAAACTAGTGCTAAGATTTCTTCTTTACATTTATCTCAATACATATATTTTAATGATTATTTTATTTGTTTATTTAAGATGGGATCTCACTCTGTCACCCAGGCAGTGGTGTGATCCAATTCAGTGGTGTGATCACAGCTCACTGTGGCCTTCAACTCCTGTGCTCAAGCAATCTTCTCACCTGAGCCCAGGTAGCTGGGGCCATAGGTGCACACCACCACACCCTACTAAGATTTTATTTTTAGAGTGGTCTCAACTGTATTCTTGTACTCAATCCAGATCTCTTGTACTCAAGGTATCCTCCTGCCTCAGCCTCCCAAAATGCTGCGATTATAAGCATGTGTTGCTGCACCCCATTTTACTTTTTAGATAAAATGAATAAACAGCAATGAAACAGAACAAAATAAAAAATGGGATATATAAAATATTCTGCCACATAAAAGTAGAGGATTATCATAGCATTCCCAAACCAAACGCTGAACATACTCCAGGAAAGACAGTTCAGTTTTAGGGAGCATTTGCTTAGCAATTTCAAGATACTTAAAAAAATTATGATTTCTTTGAATAAAAGATAGAAGATGTATAGTAAGATAACCGAATTAGAATAAAAAAGGAATGTGAGACTACAATGTAAGGGAACAAGTAAGACCACAACAGACATTGTAATGGCATAAGAAGCAATGAAGAGTGGAATCACCACTGCAGAGAATCAAACCAGTTACTTGAGATGAGTATAAGGAGCTCTTTAAAAACACAGAGGAAATGGATAAGGAGACTAGAGAATTAGAAGGAATGCAATAGATACAGGAAACAAATAATAATGGTGTAACATGTGGATAATTGGTGATCCCAAAAGGATGAGAACAAATGAAACAAAGATGTTTCTGAACAAAATAATAATCCAGATATGCCTGTGCCTAATGTAAAATTAATGATAAAATGAACAACACCTAGAATTGTCTCGGTGACTTTCTTGCCTTTAAAGTTTTATGGAATTGTTCATATTTTGTTTTGAAAACTCTTACTTATCACTGGAATGTAAGCTTCATGGGGGCAGGACATTGTCTTTATTATTTCCCACTATGCCCTCTACACATTGCGCATATTAGGAAATTAATACATATGTACCAAATTAATAGTTCAAAATTCAGCTCAATGTATCTCTAAAGCTTTTTCTAACTTCCTCAGGATTCAACTGTGCCTAATTATATACAGACACACACAAATGCACACATGTGAGCACACACACATATTTTTGGATGATTATTATATTTGCTGAACTTCAAACTTCTACTCTGTAAATTTAGATTGCAGAAAGCCAGTGGAGAAGCATCTATAAATTTTGTGATCCAATAATTCTACACCTAGCCAATTTGTTATTCATAAAGCAGCAGTATGTTATTTTAGGAAATTTGAGGATTAAAAGTGTGTAACACACCAATTCTGAAAAAAGTAACTCCAATCAACTGAAATTAAAATATAAGTTAAAAAAAACTTCCTGAAGTGAGAAATCATGGTATGGAAGGGCTGGTGATAATAATGAGGCTTGAAACTATTCAATTTAGAACAGGGTATATAAAATTATAATAAACGTGGTATATTAGGCCATTCTTGTTTTGCCATAGAGAAATACCTGAGACTGGGTAATTTATAAGAAAAGAGGTTTAATTGGCTTATGGTTCTATGGGCCGTCCAGGAAGCATGCTGTTGGTATCTGCTCTGCTTCTGAGGAAGCCTCAGGAAGCTTATAATTATGGCTGATGGTGAAGCAGGAGCAGGCACATCACATGGTGAGAGCAAGAGTAGGAGAGAGAGAGTTGTGCGGGGGAGGTGCCACAACTTTTTAGTGACCAAATCTCATAGGAACTCACTATCATGAAGACAGCACCAAGCCATAAGGGATCTGTCCCCGTGATCCAAATATCTTCGACCAGGCCTCATCTCCAACACTGGGGATTAAAATTCAACAAGAGATTTGGGTGGGGACAAATATCCAAACTATGTCTCACGGTTACATAAAAGACTGCAAAAATTACATTTTAAAAAACTTCAGGTCAATATCCCTGACGAACATCAATGCAAAAATCTTCAATAAAATACTGGCAAATGAAATCCAGGAGCACATCAAAAAGCTTTTCCAGTATGATCCAGTTGGCTGCATCCCCAGGATGCAAGGCTGATTCAATATATGCAAATCAATAAACATAATTCATTACATAAACAAAACTAAAGACAAACACCACATGATTATCTTAAAAGACACAGAAAAGGCCTTCAATAAAATTCAACATCCCTTCCTGTTAAAAAACTTTCAATAAACTAGATATTGATGGAACACACCTACAAATAAGAAGACCCATTTATGATGAACTCACAGCCAATATCATACTGAATGGAAAAAAGCTGGAAGCATTCCCCTTGAAAACCAGCACGAGACAGAATGCCCTCTCTCACCACTCCTATTCAACATAGCATTGGAAGCTCCAGCCAGGGCAATCAGTCAAGAGAAAGAAAAAGGTTATTCAAATAGGAAGAGGGGAAATCAAACTGTCTCTGTTTGCAGGTGACATAATCCTATGTCTAGAAAACCCTATCATCTCAGCCTCAAAGCTTCTTAAGCTGATAATCAATGTCAGCAAAGTCTTTGCATACAAAATCAATGTGCAAAAATCACAAGCATTCCTATACACCAACAATAGACAAGCAGATCCAAATCATAATAAACTCCCATTCAGGACTGCTACAAAGAAAAATACCTAGGAATACAGCTAACAAGGGAAATAAAGGACCTCTTCAGGGAGAACTCAAACCACCGCTCAGGAAAATCAGAGAGGATACAAACAAATGGAAAAACATTCCATGCTCATGGATAGGAAGAATCAGTATCATGAAAGTGGCCATACTGCCCAAAGCAAGTTATAGATTCAATGCCATTCCCATTAAACTGCCATTAACATTCTTCACAGAATTATA